TACAAAGAGAAAGTTCATTCATATAGATGATATAGCTAGATGTCAATATAAATATAAATACATACTGTATTTACCTTTATCACCAAACCAAAAAGTCTTTTGCCTTGTTCCACCGCCACCCCCCAAATTAATATAGAATTCAAGATTACACATTGAATGTTAAATTGTCTGAAACCTGAAGAGAATGAGAAGGAACAATAGTCCTCAGATGCCCAGACTTGGTTCCTAGCAAATTGTGCATGTTCTTATCAGCCAGTCCAGAGACAGCAGTGACAGACGTTAATAGGATACAAAGCCATTTTTGGCAATGGGAGACAAGAGGAGCAGTGAACACATAAAATGAAGAACAGTCAAGCTATTCAAGTATATTCTGATGTAAGTTTGTCTCTAGACTCCCTAAATGATGTCATCCCATTCTTGGGGGGGCGGGGAGAGGGAGATGCCTCTTAGGTTACTTGGTTCAATGCAGCAACCATGTGTGATTTTCAGTGCTACTATATAACCGTAGATCAGTTAACTTAAGTTAAAAGCACCCTGCTTGATCAAGCCAACCAGATACAATTAAGATGGGAAAGTGAAGATAGTCCTCTTCTGTCGTCACTCCCTAGTGGCTAGTATTTGCAGTTTATGGCAACTATGATTCAGCTGAAAAATCAGTGGCTAGATTCACCCATCATGTGAAACTGCAACATGGTTGGATTTGGGCCTAGCAAATTATGTGAACCCAGCCAACTGTGGTTTATTCAACACACATGGCCTAAAGCCATGGCTTAGCACAATCCATGAACCAGGCTAATGTAAACCTGTTGGCCTTGGATTGGATTCAAATCATAATTCCGAACAAAGCTCATGGGCTTAATGGAACTGAGCAAGCACAATCAAGTATGCGGAAAAAGACATCCCATTTTCACCATTAGCTCACTGGACATCATCTACCTATGAATGGATGCATTACAAGTTTCTAAATTAGAGCTGCATCAAACATTGACCCTGAATTACAATTACAATAATGTGGGAAAATAGGTACTTTATAAATACATGGAAAGCAATCATATTAACTTGAATTAAAATGAATTAATTAAATTTACATAACATTTCATTTTTGTCCTGGTCTCACCCACTTCTTTGTCTTCGACCCTTCCTACCTTTGGAGAGTGACTTCAAAGGCCAAGGGCAGATTTGCACACACCTAATTCAAATCAGAAAGAAGTTGTGGTTCTCATGCTGCTAATTAACAGCATGCTGGAAGTAGTATATTTATAGCAGGCTGCCCAGTAGCTACACACTTAGTTGCTTAAGGTGAATAATGCTGACCATACTCTTTGAGCAACTTGGATGGATTTATTGGTGTCCCTGGCATTCTGCACTTTTTGGTCCCAATCCAGAGATTTGCTCCACCAAGAAATGTATGCTTTGAATGAGATGTATGTATCAGCTGCCCAGCCACTCAGCACCACAAACTCCTTACTACTCCCTTTGTGGTGGCGCCCAACAGCCATGCTGTCTTGAATATTTAGGATAGATGTGCCAGATGGTAACCTTATCTCCAACGAAAGTCTACTTCAGTTTCTCCCTCTGTCATCCTAGGGAGCCCAACCCAGCTAATTAGCACGTGAAAATGCAGTGCAAAGAAAAGATGGAAAATATTGTTACTGGATGTAACAAATAGAGTGGTGCTTTCAGATTTAACCCTCCTTTTACGTCAGCTTCTATTGGGGCAGTCCAGTTGCAAAGTATTCAAGCAGAGCAAAGCTGGGAATTTTTGACCCAGCAACTGCAGTCGTGACACAAAGTTTGTTTAGAATCAAAGGAGAGATTCAAATGGGAAGCACTCATTTGGGAGCAAATGCAGAAGAACCTAGTGGCTACTGGTTAAGAAGCTGCTCTTTCTCCTCTGTCCTCTCTTGAGAAGATAGATGTGCGTGGAGGATATATCTCAAGAGAGAAACAAGGATAAGGTCATAGCATTTTTAGTGCAGAAAAACAATGGAGAGTGAGAGCTGCTCTTTCTTAAGAGAACTCACACTATCAGCTGGGAGGGAATTATGGCAGCAAAAGCTACTCACCACGGGTGAGTTCCTAATTATCCAGAAGAGATTGAAATATCACCGTTAATTTCCCTGGAGGGTGAGACCCATCAGGGTTGACAAAGAGAACTGGCCATTAGAAAAGATAAAGGAGGCTTTGAATTAATATTCAGGCTGAACATTCATGGTGCACACCTCTGCTTGTTTGTTGAAAAAGGTCAACTGTTAGCATGCTTAGAATAGCAATTTCTGGAAATTGTCCTGAATTCTAATTTAGTATAGAAAGGTCTGCATGGCAAGTTCAGACATACATTGCAATACATTTATAGAATAGTAATTTGTACTCTACCACCACCCCCCAACTCCCGCAAAAAGGATAATCTGCTAAATTGGGTATCAAGAGTTCCTAATAATTAGCAAAATAAGTTTCCAAAGCCTGTTGAGAATACACATCTCAAAAGATGTCATGTTTTGTAGCCTTTGGAATGTAGTGATCAGTAGGAATTCTAGAAGTCAACATCTCGGAGAAGACTGAAATAGTAGTTTTATGTTTAAGAAAGATTATAGTGTATGATATTAACCATAGACTCTCGTCAAAAAAATCCACATTTCATGAAAGAATTGCAACTTTTCTTCACACAGAGGGGAGATCATTAAAGCATCACGATGATCTTCCATGAGAGAAGCAGCATCTTGATAATCCAAGTATTAAGAGTCTTAATTTCCAAGAATGCTGCAGTTTTCCCACATTTTTACAGTATTAAATGGGTAAGAAATGCAGTGAGAACCCTGATTCTGTTTCCAAGAACACAGATGGTCTCCCTTTGAGGACAAGAGATTAAGTCTCTGAATTCAGTCAGAGCAACTGATGTTGCCATAAGGCAGAGTAGGGTAGCAGTTTCAGGCAATCACGATCAATCCTACACCCTGTAAGGTAGACTTCTGCTGCCAGGTGTTCCTGAGGACACTGTCCTATTGCTGAAATAGAAGAAAGATTCAACTGCTAGTCAGATTGCTTTCTATTTGTGGAATTGGGGGTGGAAAGGGGGGGGAATACTTTCCCCTTTCGCCAAGACAGCAACATGTTTATCTGCTATCCTTGGTCTTAATTTTGAAAGGGACCAAGTCTGTACCCAATGCCTGATTATTACTGGCATGCTCTGGGCAGTAATCTTAGTCCGACATCATGTGGGCATGAATATTTTAAGTGTGTCTTAGAATTATCTCTTGCCCTGCATGACCACATATATTCAGCTGCACAGAATCTAGAGTCAGATGTTTACAATGCTAGGAATCTGTTTGCATCATTCCAAGTAGAAGCTTAAAACTTTGACCCGTGAAAAGAACACCGTGATTGCTGTAGACAAGGTTGCACCTAGCTGCAAGAAAAGTTCTTAAGGGCTAGTTCACATGTGCATTACATTTCTTTTCACCAGACTACACTAAAAAAGCCAGCCCTACTATTAGGTAAAATAAGGTTGCCATTCTTAGGCAGTTTGCTTCAGGTGTCATGAAAGGTCAATAACGTCTTGGATATTTAATTTATTTTTATTGTTGTAATGTTTACCATCAATAGGGTGAGGGGAGTTTAGGAAATGTTCTGTCTTGGGTGCAAAAATGATTTAACTGGCCTTGGGTACAATGCACCATGTCCAGCCTGAGGAAACTTCATAACATTATTGAACTTTTAAATGGGGGGATGTAATCTGTGATGTTCATATATAGATGGTCCATTCACACATGCCATCTGATGTTACTAATAAACAAATGGCAAGCCTCATACCCTGCCTTTGGTTAGTTTGCATATAAATAAGCACCCGTTAAAAAAAGTTCTTATTGTTACTTTATCCACTCATATATACTGCTTAAAATTATTTCTTTGGAAAACGTTTTTGGCAATTTCTGATTCCAGGGGCATATGCACGGTCTGGATCGCCTTCTCTTCCTCCTCCTCCCCTTCAAGCTTGTCCAGTAGCGCATTTCTCACAAGTTGCATGCTTTTGGGGTCCAGGCAACATTTAACAGTTGAGGAGAAAGCTCACAATGAATGAGGAACTGGCGTAAAGTGGGATGGGCCACTTCAGCTTTCATATTTTCCCCAATATTTACATTTTTGGAGTCTATTAAAAGATTGAAATAGGGACAACAGTTTTGCTAACATGTAAACTCTAAATTCCAAAGAGTGCCATCAGAAGCAGTCCAGGGTTACCACATCGGGAATGCAAAAGCCCAAACAACCAGCAGATGGCAGTAGAGGGTTAGAGTTGTTTGTCTGACATCTGTTGCCATCTAGTGTTGTCTGGATTTCTTGCAGGCCAGACATAGACATAGTTGTCCACTTATAGCAGAAAACAAATAACTCTAGTGCCCTTAATATTATTGCATTCTTATTCAAGAATGTGATACTATTTCTAATTTGTCATTCAATATGAGTGACTGCTAGGTTCTTTCCCTCTCTCTCTCTTGCTTGCTCTCTCATACAGCTTATCAATTTCCAGTGTCAGGAATAACATGGCGCCTCCATGCCTCTGGGGAAGCAACTACTGGCATCAGCAAATTCCATTTTTCACTCTGGAGTTGTAATCAGGAAGTACCGAGAGCCAAATGAAACTACTTTTTCTCTGCTGCTCCTTCCATGATTCTCTTTGTCATTTCGTATCCTTTAATATAAAACCCAGCATATTGTACGACTTAGTAAATTACAGAATTGTTTTATTTTCAGGCAATGCTACAAATTGAGCATCTGGAGGTCTAGGATTTATCATCTGCAAAATTCATAGCCACGGAAATATCAAAAAAGTCCCACAATCCCTGCTGAAAGTTTATAGCATAATTAATTTCAACACCCCATTGCTGAACGTGTTAATCATCAAGGTCACTGACTTGAGGAAGTATCAAAATAGTAACTACTTTTCTTCCCAGCCTCTAGTATCTTAATGTTGCATAATAATTCTAAGGAAAATTGCCTCCTACCTTCAGCTTCTCTTGGGACAAAATGTCTTTTGCTGAAGATCCTCTTTTACATTTTTCTATCTCCATTTCCCAGCAAGAAAAAGATTCAAATCCCAGAAAGAAGAAGCTTAACTGGCTAGGTGTTAGAAACCATGACTGCCCACCCTCGAGTGGTGAGACCGGACTGTATCAGCGTGCCTGGGTGATAATTTCTTCTTAGCCAGGGTTTCCATTTATAGCCTTAGAAAACTCACAAACAGAACTCTGGCAGGAAGGCAAGACTCGGGCTTCAGATAACAATAAATGCCCCGTTGGCACCAAATCAGTTGAAACACAGCGTAATTTTGGTTACCTGGAGCTTATGCACCAACCTTCCCTGTAGCTTCCTCGGAGACCTTGGAAGAAATTGGGAGACAGAAGCCTGAGATGAAAGTCCACAGTCAATCACCTGCCACTTTGGGGCATCTCTCACACACTTTCTCTTTGTCATCTCTAGTGTTGCTGTCATGGCATGACTGTAATTCAGGGGAACTTCACCACCGCCAGCACCACCACACACACACACACAATAGATGGTGTCTCATAAAGCCTCCCCAATCCCTTTTAAAAGTTCATGTTTGAAGGTCGGGAGTCTGGGGATTTGTTTTAAAAGAGAAGGGAAATGTCATTCTTCAACCAGCAGTTATTTTCACATGAACTGCTGTATGTGTCAAATCTCTGAACTCCCTTTTTGAGTGCAAATTTAAGCACAAATTTCAGGGTGCCCTCCAGAGGCACATCCTAGAAAGAAAATACACTTAGGTCTGTGGATGGATTATGCCGGCTTCCCTCCCTAGCACAGAACCCAGAGGGTTAGAAATGTCGTGTTCTTTTCCAAACAGCAGCCCTACCTCACCCCCTCCCAGAGCATGTTACATGGAACATGTCAGAGTTACAAAGCTGTTTTACAATACTGCACAGGGAGCCATTGCAAGTAAAACTGGAAAAGAAGACTGTGGCCAGATTATTCAAAAGGGAAGAAAATGAAGGGAATTGCTGCCTTCACACCCTGCCACACTGCAAGCAACACACTGATAAACATGTGTAATCTACCACTTTAAGCAGGTTTTATTACAAAAAAGTGGGAACATTCTCCAGCTTTCTGCCATTTTGGCCATGCAAATGGGTTGATTACACTTCATTGCAAATAGCTATAAATCTTCTGAAGTGGGTATAGGAGTGCTGGGGAATGGAACCAAAGTCATTAACTCCCCCTGGGGGAAGGGGGCCACATTCCATTCTCAAAGCTGCCTTCTCCAATTATGTAGCTAGATAAACAAGCAAGCTATGTTTGCACACAGAAGTGTATGACCCATTGAAATCTCAAGTTATTATCCGCTCAATGAGATGGTCCTGGGCAATGAAAGAAATCAGAGCAACATCTAGAAACAGAAATGTCTGGCTGGAAATTCTAAGAATTGTGTACTTTAGGTGTACTTTGATAGAAATTTAAGAGATAAATTTTCATCCATCGTTATTACGTTTTTATTTGAATAGCACTCTTGCAAAGTTAAAAAAAAAAATACAGGTAATGTGCAATTACTTGATTTGCAAAACCCCGGCACTCAAAGCACACTTCTGCAAGGAATGAGACCCAACTAACTGAGGTGCGTTTTAGGAATACATAACTATGTGAGTGAACAGGCAATCCATACATAAAAGGGCAGAAGCTTTTTTACTTGACCAAACAGAAGTCATTTTAAATGAAAGGAACTGGGAGGACACTATTAATAAAAGGGTCAGCTGCCAAGGGAGGCAAGAATCCTTCTAAACAAGGTTTACTTTTGTGTAAACTTTTATTAGACGCTTGCTTGTAGGTATTGACATTGTTGATTTTTTAAAGGGAATATAGTATTATTCCGAATACCGCATGGAACCACCAGTTCAATGAGTGAGGGAAACATGCCTCAGCGTGCAAATGGGTCCAACCATCTAAGAACAGAATTGAATTAATGTTCTTTCCGTTCCCTTTGCCTCAGTCTCCAGCCTACTGTTGAACTCACTGTTTGCATTTTGCAGATTGTAAGGACTTTAAGGCAGGGACCTCTAATCAAATCTGACCTTGCTCCACTAATACTAACTCTTTATTGCAAACCACCTGATTTTGTACTTGGATGATTCAAATTAAAGCATTTGAGACTGGATAAATTCACATTGGCATCTGCTTTGGCCAGAAGCATATTTTTCACCGAATGTTAAATGGCATTGCCGGGCAACGCGGGGGACAAGGTTGAACTTTTACTCTAACTAGCTCAGGACTGTCTACTTGGGCTATTTGTGGCAATACTTTGGAGGATCAGTTACAGGTTTCTCCTTGGGAGCATTTTTCTTTGCTTTCTTACCTGGCTGAGGAAGGAAGCAAGGAAGATCAGTAGTTACTTTTTAGGGTTGTGCAAGGTAGCACAATTGACCTTTACAAGCTGGGGTGGGGCTGTGTTTCTTTACACAGGAGTCCATTTCATCCAACAAACTGAAGTGATGTGGCCCATATGCTGTGCTATTTAGAAACCAGGTTGGCAAAGCTGGCTTAAGAGAGTACTTCACATGAAACTTCATCAAAGCAATGCACCTCTTTGCAGGTTTACCCAGCCCTCCTAGGTTTGCATGGGATGGGAGGGAGGCTGTGATGACTTCTTAGCTATAGAAGAATAACCTGGCAGCAGTTCCTGGCAGATCAAACCAGGAGTCCAATATTAGCAACCCGGCTGGAGGGGGGGGGAGCATTCCCTGGCTCTGAGACAGACTCCAAGACTGAGTCTGACAACAACAACAACAACACACCCACCGGTTGCTACACCAACTAAAGCAATGTTGCCGTGGAAGTGATTCCCCCCACTGGACAGCAGCAGTGATCACTGAGTGGTGGACACCTGCTCAGTAGCAAGAACAAGTTGTCTTAGGCTGTTTTTTCCACAGGATTTTAAACAGGCTTTTGAGTCTTCTTCACTTCTGGGGGGCCTTTATGAATGCCATCAGAACAGCAGGGCAGGTTGAACAAGCAGGCCTGAGGCACTCAGTACCATCCCACCAAGCTAATGGATTTGTGAAGAATAACCATACGTATTTGTCCCGCTTTTTTCCCCCAATATCATGTAATTTGACTTATTTATCTTGGAAATGGGGAGGAAGAGCCCCATTAGTCTAGGCAACAAAACCAGTATGGAATTTAGCAGCACCTTCAAGACTAACTGGAGGTTTTTTTGACGCATAAACAAAGCTTATGCCCCATTGAAGTTGATTCATCTTGAAGAGGCCCACATGCCTACGCATTTATTTTATTTATTTTCCTTTCACCAGCACATTTTCGGCTTGAAATGTTTTCTAGTTTTGTGTGATGCCCTGAGTGCAGTGCTGAAAGAAAAGCGAAAATTGTATTTTTATCAATAAAGCAAAATGTCTAAGGCTGCAGCCAATGCACCCTTCCCTGCAAATATAGTGGGTTCTGTTTCGACAGAAATATGGCTAGAAATTAGATTTATGCTCTAATTTTCTGAAAATAAATAGACAATCTGAAATATTGTGAGAATGTCTCTAGAGAAATGAGATTCTGTCGCCAGCTGAGCTGTCCTTTGGATTGTTCTTGGTTTTCAAATTGCGCAATACGTTTATTTTTGGAGCCATTGTTCTTACCTAATGTTTTTATCTAATGCTTTTTAGCAAGGCAGAAAAAAGGTTACCAGACTTCATTTACCAGCACCACATGCAGCTTCCTCTGCTCATGTTAAGGACCACAGCAGTCAGTTTGGGCACATTTTGGCCAAGATGGCCCAAGAGCAACCAAAGCCCAAGTTTACTCTAAACATGCTCACGCTATTCTATGTAAAGTGGGGTCTTTCATCTAGAAATGACCTTAAAAGGCAGCATACTGTTTCCCACATCCCACTCTGCAGTGCAGTGCCACACTCCAGAAGAAAAGAGCATGATGGATATGTATGCATTGTGTTCCCTTGTGGGAAGAATGCTATTACTTGCGGTGGAGAGGATGATGCTCATGAGTATTTCTGGGACTATATTACAGCCTTGTTTACTATGAGCCTTACTAATATGCTTAATCAGAAAATGAAACTCTTCAGAATCCCCAAAGTGAAATATGGTGGCCCAGGCAGCTAACCCCGTCATTTATACTACCTTGGTGTGTACAGGCAATGCTTTTTAGGAAAGCTTTCTATCGGCAGGTGCTTAATTTTACTAATGGTTTTAGTTTTTAGGTTTTATGGAATTCTTTGTTTTTGTGCTGCTTTTATTTTTGTAGTTTGTGGTTACTGTTTTTATGTTGTTCATGTTTTGTAGGCTGCTTGAGTATACGACTGATGAGAAAATAAAAAAGCTTCTGGCATAGCTGGATGCCCTGTAGTGTAAGGAGAGCTTCCATTTTTTCAAAGTGTGGATCTCCAGATGTTCATGAATGGAATCTCCCATTATCACTGGCCACTTACTATTCTGCCCAGAATGTATTAGAATTATCATCCAAAACCATTTTTGGATGTGCAGACTCTGACAAAAGGTGGAAAGAAGCAGAAACTAAGCTGTCCTCTCTTTGAGGAAATGCGTGATTAGATTTTCTATCCTAGTCTAACCAGTTCGTATTTACCTTCCCTGTAAATCTGTATGTCTATCTCTGAATGAATGTTCTCATGATTAATAAGTGAATACAGTACTAACTGGGCACAGAATTAAAGAATCCTCATTTGGCAAATGGTTCTTTGCTGGTAAGGGAACATAATTAATTATCCTACTTCATATTCAGACTCAAATTAGGATATACTCACTCTCTAATCGTATTCTAATTTGAATACAGTAGTGGAGGAAGAGCCATAAGGCCTATTTTCTACCATGTGACCTTGGCCAAGGAGAATTCTTCGTTGTTCCATCCACCATGATGTTTTCACTCAGCCAGATGTTCCAGCAAAATTCTGAAACCCTATGAATTATGTGATTCTCATGGTTTGTAGTGCTTCCCAGTGCCAGTTCCTCAGGCTTCCTTTTGATCTGGGTCTTGCTTTCAGCAGTTGTGACAAATGCTTTATAATTTCCTCAAGGCACCCCTTTCAGAGAAGGCAGAAAACATGCTCCACCTCAACTTTAGTGAACTTAAACAAATCCCTTCCTGGCTCCTAAATGGATGACAGCTGCTGGTCTCAGCTAACCCAGACATTTATAAAATGTGTATGGCTCCTCTGCTAACCTGTCCAGAATAAAGGCTGAGCCCTGTGTGCAAAGCTTCAACAAGTCCTGCAAATTATGACTGTACATCTTGCAAGAGTTAGGCCTCCTGGGTCTCAAGAGACTTCAGGGTGCATGATCTCACAAAAACTGGGAACCTTCAGAAGACAGCATCCATGTTCAGCACAGCTGGTAAGGAGTCTCTCTACCACATTCTCTCTTCAGGTGCTCCCTCCAGCTATCAAAAGATGGAGGGGACCACCATCAGGTGAACTTTTTGATACGTGAATCCCTACTTCATAGTGGTACAGTCCAGATATGATTGTAACCCATAATATCATCCTGATCATCCTGATCATGATCGCCATCATCATCATCATCATTATCATCATCATCATCATCATCATCA